TTAGCTACTCCACATTCTTATAAGTATTTACTTTTATTCTTATACTATAATAAAATAATAATATAATGACTATTTTAATATTCACTGCTATTACTGAAAATTTATAATTTACGTTATATATCGTACATACATACACTATAGATTTTCAGTTTTGACAATATCAGAATGCAGTTTTTTTGTTATTTTTAAATGTAGAGTTGTGTAGCATATATATTTATTTTCGCAGCTCAATACATGTCCAATTTGGTGTTGGAAAAGCAACAGCATTCAGAGCAGTAAGAAGGGTAACTTATGCCTTGCATTGTTTTGTACCAAGATTCATTCAGTAGCCAAAAAATGAAGTGCTACACCGTACTATTGAAGAATTTGCGAAAGCAAGGTTTTCCTAATAGTTTTCCCTAGAACTGCGATATATACTCAGCACGACACCCTTTGCTCGAGTGTCGTGCTGAAATCGGACATTAAAAAATTGAAAAAATTATTAAAAATGTTTAATCGCCGGAACTATTTTTGAAAATGATTGCAGAGCATAGAACTCTACGAGAACTGGCCAAAACTCCCCCTAGAACTGCGATATATACTCAGCACGACACCCTCTGCTCGAGTGTCGTGCTGAAATCGGACATTAAAAAATTGAAAAAATTATTAAAAAATGTTTAATCGCTGGAACTATTTTTGAAAATAATTGCAGAGCATAGAACTCTACGAGAACTGGCCAAAATTCCCCTTAGAACTGCGATATATACTTAGCACGACACCCTTTGCTCGAGTGTCGTGCTATAATTATCTTATTAATTATTTAAGTTAATTACTGGTAATCGACAGAACTATTGTCGAAAATTATTTTGGAGGTCAGAACTATTCTAGAACTCGTAAAATGCGCCCAGAGAAATAGATATTTCTACCAGCACGACACTCTTTCGCGATGTCGTGCTATAATAGCTTATTAATTAATTAAGTTAATTATGGTTAATCGACAGAACTATTGTCGAAAATTATTTTGAAGGTCAGAACTATCCTAGAACTCGCAAATTGCGCCGTGAGAAATGAATATTTCTATTAGCACAACAAGATACAATTTTTACAAATATCGTTTAAATTTTTTTTTAACTCGTAGAATGCATAGTTCGCTGGAACTATTGTTAAAATCTATCAGGAACTCTAGATCTCGTCGAAATCTATTGATATACACGAAAAAAAAAAATTTTTTTGCGTAAGTGTCGTGCTACGGGAAGTTTGCACGACATTTTTAAAAAATTCGTTTTTTGACCTCAAATTGACAGAACTATTTGCGAAACCTATCAGGAACTCTAGAACTCTTAAAAGTGCTACTAAAACTCATATGTTTTTTTTGAAAATCGAAAAAAGCCGTGCCAACTTCAAAGAGCCTAATTCCTTCGGGATATTAGTATAGAGTGAAGTGACGTCTAACGAAGCCATTATTTCAGTTGACTCAATGGCTTTATTATTAATTAAATTAGCAAACGCCCAACTATCCTTGACAAACGAACGAGGTTTTTGAATTGAATTTTGTAAAATAGTGTGTAAATAATTTGCCATCATATACAACGGACTCCCAATAGATGAGATGATAATTCTTAAGGGGGTTCCTGCCTTATGGATCTTCGGCAATCCATATGCTCTCGGCGTATTCCCGTTAGTGCATTTTAAATTATTATAAGTACGTTCATTAATTAAATTGTTATTATGCCAAGATTTCAATAAGTCATTAACTTTTTGAGATAAATTTTTTATTGGATCTTTTTTCATAATTTTATATGTCGATGTATCATTTAACAATTCTGTCATTTGCTGCAAATATTTACCCCTATTCATGATTACAGTGACCTGTCCCTCATCTGCTTGCATTACAAAAATATCCCTATTGTCTGCCAAATATTTTTTACATTTTGAGAATTCGTTTAGGATACGTCTACTTATAAAATATTGGTGTTTTCTTTTGTTTTTAAGTCTATTCAATGAATTAGCAATACAATTACGCGTATCATTCAGTAAACTGTCTTTCAGTCGGTGACTATTTAATTCGAAATTTTTATTACATTAAGTGCAAACGACTCAGAATCCCTTACACTGTTATGATTAAAAGGCAATCCGAATTTTCCACCCAAACTCAGAAATCTAAGAACGTTATCCGGTACTTCTTTATCCGAATTATTAATTATCCATTTACTACATTTAAAATTGAAAAACCTTTCATATATCTTATTCTAACGATTGAGAAGTAAATCGAGATGTATTTTATTAAGAAATTAAATTCCACAATTAATTTACAAAAAGACACAGAAAGTTTTAGCACTGCGTATGATTGTTTGTTTAGAAATTGATGTAACCTTCGACATACTTATCTTGGCGATGTTATTAAATTTAGTACAGTGTGTTCTGTCAAAGTATGAAGACAAAAACGTTAGAAATTGATGTAACCTTCGACATACTTATCTTGGCAATGTTATTAATTTTAGTACAGTGTGTTCTGTCAAAGTATGAAGACAAAAACGTAACTCGATATGTAATTTTATTATTGTGACATAAGCTAAATCTCTCCGAATCATAATTTGCTCTTATATCTTAAAGACGAAATGCTGTAACTCATTGTAAGTCTCAAATTTGCAGTTCCCGTTTCGTTTTAATTAGAGTGTCTGATTGTATCTATATGTTTTAGAAAGTTCTAATTGTATTTTTGAAAAGGACCACAACCCACATGGTCAAAACGTCAAAATAAATATATATTAACAACGCTAATTGAGGCCAGTGTTGTCAGATTAAATCTATAACCTCATATTTAGGAATACCCATTTTTATGATGAGTCCTCTAACATCTTGACAGAAAACAAAATTGTTTTCCTGAGAGAAAAAGAGTAGGAAATATCTTTCTCTTGTGCGGTAGAATGTAATTTTCGTTCCACATTCGAGTACATTCTTATCATTCAATCTAAAAACAATTAATTCAGAAGCTTCATTTCAAAGGCTGAGATCTCTCATGAGGTCATTTAACTCGTTTTGGTTAAAATGTAAGGACTTAATAAAGATCCAACATAATCACTGTCGTTATTTTGTTGTGCATCATAAGAGGCATGACCGGGAGTAGATTCATCCCTAGAAAGCTCCGGTAATTCGTGAAACATTGGAATTGGTACTTCATCCGAGTGAGGAACTGGGCGCCTTGCAGAAGTTAAATCAGAGTAACTCCACTTGCTGCTCAATAATATTATTTTATGAAAAAACGCATTATCACCATGTAAATATATATCATAACAATTCCGCCAGTGACAAAGATTTGGTGCCACAAATTTTGTGCTATATCAGAAAAAATGTATTATTTTATTTTTATATAACATATATAAATTGCCTAAACTTTATCGATATAATGTCAAATTAACATCAGTTTGACTTTTCTGTTCTTGTCGGATACTTCAGGAATCTCTTATTTTCACGTTTGAAAAATTATATTAATTTTAAGTAATATTATCATTTTTTCTGAAAATTTGGTGTTAATATGATGCAAATAGGCATTATATATTAAACAGTCCTATCAATAACAAATTTTAGCGCCATAAATCTTGCTCGCATAATTTCACAAAATTGATTTTATTTCATCTTTTAGCATACTATTAAAATGTTAATATTTAATTGTTTAACAAAATTGATATCTTATGTAGGTGTTAAATATACACATACTTAATATGATGTAAATATACGCATTATATCAACATACCCATCAATACTAAAAATTTGGCGCTATAAAGTTTGTTTGCACTGTTTTGTCAAAATTCTCACTATTCTAGCATTTTAGCATACTATTCAATTATTATTAAATAATTTAACAAATTCAATTATCTTATGCCGATGTTAAATGCGAGTTTGAAATACGTTGCGTTTACAATATTAAATTATCAAAAATTTAATGCTTAAAAAATCTTGTTATTTTCACGAAAATTTGAAAAAGTATGATAAAATAAACTTTAAATATTATTTGTCTAGAAATTAGATGTTAATATAACGTAAGTACGCATTAAAACAACGGTCCCGACAAGAAGAAAAATTTGGCCACGCTTACTCACGCTATTTCGTAAAAATTGAAACTTTTTAGTATATTATTTAAATATTAATATTTAATTATTTAACAAAATTGATATCTTATTTCTCTATATGTGCTACATTATGCATAATATGGTATAAATATATACACATTATTGACCTTCCGTTTCCGGTGCGAGGGTGGTGTACACGTGGAGAGTGAGTGTGTAGGTTTGAGGGAGCTTTAGAGGATATAGAGAACAGAGGGAGAGGAAAGGATAGTTTGAAGAGAGAGAGGAAGAGAAAATGAGAGAGTGAAAGTGTGGCAAACGAAAATAGATAGAAGGTGGAGGAAAGAGTTAGATAGAGAGATAGCTGACAGCAGATAGTTTGTGTAGGGAGTATAGAATATATATAGAGAGAGAGATGTGCGGTAGAAAGAAAGAGCAGGTGCTACGGAATAGCTAGTAGCTTTTAGAGAGAGATAAGCAAGGAGTAGGGAGAACATAAAGAGAAATTAGAAAGGAAGAAAGGAAAAGCCAAAGAGCAAGAGAATTATAAGTAGGAAAGAAGACAATAGTTTAGAAAAGATGTTCAGCGGAAAGAAAGAAAGAAGCATGGAAAGTGACCCACACAGCACATGATATCACATTCGAATATTCTGTACACATACTGTTAATCTACGCAATATACATAAGATACTGAGAATATCTTTATAATATCTCTTGCAATATATTATTTTTCGTATATTCTTAGAATATATTTTAATATCTCTTACAGTATATTATTATTAGTATATTCGCGTATATTTTCAAGATATACTTTTGAATTACGCAGAATATTCGTTACAGGATGTCGTATGGAGCCATTTGAGTGCAGAGCGTTTTGGCGCGTAAACGTACACGCCACGCGGTTTGTGATAGTGTTTTTTCTATAGTGGGTTACCGGTCTTTTTCCTGTGATATCTTGTCGCATGACGGTGTGAAAGTAAGTCTGTATATTTTTATATAATTTTTCGTAAATATAAATCCTTTTCATTTCTTTCAAAATTTATCTTATTTTGTGTAAAATATATTATATATTTCACTAAATATATTATTATATAATTCACTATAAAATATGTTTTACAGCTGCAAGGTAACCTTAAAATTAATAATCGGACAGGCCCAATTGCAACAATACATTTTCTTTTGGAACAAAAATATGTATACCTATATCTTATTTATGTTTCTTTCTAAATAAAGAAAGACATATTTTGGTTTTAAGCAAGACTTAAAGCCAAAATAATGTTGGTGCAATCGACCCTTAAACTTCAGATTTGTTTTATCGTGAACTTACATTTTACATTTTATATACTTTATTTTTAGTCTAATCTATTTTATTTCTCATTGCATTCCTGTTTCTTAATATACATGCATATTATTTTGGTACATTTATTCTAATATTAGCCTTTTTGTATATTGATGATGATGTACCAAAATATGTCTTTGATGCATTTATCAAAGTATAATACAATTAAACAATAGAGGAAGCTAATATATAATAAAGTAAAATGTGATAAAAGTAATAGAAATCATATTGTATTGTATATGTGTATATTCATATAATTTTTTTTTTTAGTTTTAATTTTGTTACAGCGTTGCAAGAAAATATTATCGCAGCTTTATATTCATATACACAACAGTAGTGTGTTCTCTACAGTAGTGCGACAAAGAAATAGGTATTATATTTTATAATTTATAATTATAGTTTCTTTTTCTTATTTGTAATTTTTATTTTGTTACAGCATTGTCACAAAAGAAATATTGAGACTAATATATTGGGGATCGCTTTATTTATCTGCATTATTTTAAAAAGTCTGCATCATTCTAGAAAAGTTTGTTCTCTACGCATAGCTCGTGGAACACACAGTAAGAAGTAAGTATAATCATATTTCTTTCTTTTTTTTTACTTTGATTTATTTTTCATGATTATTATATATTTGTATTTTGGCACGCCTTTGATCGTATTTCAATATCAACGTAGCACATATGTAGAATGTTCGATTTAGATATGAAATTATTTTCATTATTATATTATATTTATAAACCTTTGAAATCTCATTAAATCTAAACATTACCAAATTCCTTAATTGATTTAAATATGTAGAATATGTATATATAAAAATATACAAATATATAATTTTATGCCGATTTAGAAATATCTCTCTTATAAAGAGATGGAGAAATGTGTGAAGATGGAATTTACTTTAATGGTCGTAACGTACAATGTAGAATTGAAGCTTTAGTATGTGACACACCAGCAAAAGCATCGTTCTCTGCGTGAAAGGACATGCGGGATATTCCAGTTGTACCAAGTGCACAACGGAAGGAGATTATATAAGAGGGCGATTATGTTTTCCAGAGACATATGCACCACTTAGATCAGATAGTGATTTTATACAGAAAATTGATGATAGTTATCACAAGCCTGATATTACATGCAGCTTATTAGAAGTACCTTATTTCAAGCCTGTCACAAATGTCCCGTTGGATTACATGCACTTGGTATGTTTAGAAATTATGCGTAAATTAATGTACCTATGGCTTCATGGAGAGTTACATTATTGACTACCACATAAAGCCGTTGAAGATATATCTGTACGTTTGGTAACACAATTAAAACCATCAATACCAATAGAATTCGCAAGAAAACCACAAAAGCTAGATTATTTAATATTATGGAAAGCTACGGAATACAGATTAATATTATTATATACAGGTCCAGCAGCATTCAAATCAATATTAAAGAAAAAGATATATATTAATTTTCTAACATTACACGTGATTATCAGAATCTTGTCTTCAAAAGATTTACATAAATATTTAAACTATGCGCAAGATTTGATTTTCTTTTTCATAAAAACATTTGAAGAATTATATGGCGTTCAGAACATATCACATAATAAATTAATACAAATTGTCGCTCGTATATTGAAAACAAAGTGATAAATATAAGGCCAACTTATCGAGCTGAATATTCGAGATGTTCAGTCAACTACCATTTATTAAATGTATAAATTATAAAACTACAAACAATAATTATACTGAAGAAGACCGCGTGCGGTCGAAACGTTTGTAGAATAATTGTAAATTGCGTTAGTTTTAATATCTAATGACTGTAGTTTTATAATTTATACATTTAATAAATGGTAGTTGACTGAACATCTCGAATATTCAGCTCGATAAGTTGGCCTTATATTTATCACTTTGATATCACATAATGTTCATAATCTCGTGCATCTCGTAAACGATGTTAAAAAATTTCACTTGATAATTTTAGTGCTTTCAAATTTGAAAACCATATGCAAATATTAAAGAAATTAATTAGAAAATCAGAAAAACCTTTACAACAAGTCATACGGAGATGTATTGAAAAAGAAATCAACTCACATACAATATTATCATCAAATAAGAACGTAGATATTTGAGAATCGCCAGAGAGAATTTAAAAAAAGTAAAAATCTTCTCTCGACCGTACTGACAAATATTATTTATTCAATCACAACGTTTCGACCCTTCTTTGAGTCCTTATCAAGTGATCTAGATATACATAGACCGAGATTAGTACATTAAAAAAAATAAAATTACTTCACTAACAATATTACAAAATGATAAAAAGAAAAAGAAGCGAGACTTACTTGTAAAATTAAAAATAAAATTATAATTCTAAGATGTCAAGAACGAACATAGTGTCGGTTTGACAACACGTCAAGACTCTTAGACGAGTTATTGGAGACTAAACGACCTTTATTATTGTGTCGTAGATATTACTTAGATTGTCAGTATCCTTTTGTAAATTAATAGCGTTATTATTTCCCTTAATAAAAAACATTTCAGCGATTTCTCTTTTTCTTATGTGTTTTTCACTATGCAAGATAACAAGTGAAGTCCAGTCAAAATCGTGATCGAATTCAATTTTATGTTTGCTGATAACTGATAAATTACTCGAATGCATTTTGATGTTGCTGAAATGTTCCTTTACACGTGTACACAGATGTCTTTTTGTTTGTCCGATGTATGACACGTTGCAATCTCTACAATTAATTTTGTAAACCACTTCATTTTTTTATCTGTAGGCAGTCTATCCTTGCCGAGTGTGATCAAATGATTCGGCTTTTTAGGAACATTATGAACAACATTAAATCCGATATTTTTAAAAATTCGATTGATATCGCCTAAGCTATTAACATAAGGTAGTGAAATGAAAGGAGAATTATCAACAAAATTTCGCTCATTACTCGATTCATTCATGTTTCTGTGTTTTAAAAAATTAATCCTTTTTTTAACCCAACGATCAATTACATGTTTAGGAAAGCAGTTATTAAACAAAATTTGTTTCACGATATTAATATTCTCGTCGTGAACCTGGCCATTAGATAAAAGAATCGCGTGATCTACAAGATTAAAGATTGTGTTCATTTTATATTTAAAAGGGTGGTTGGAAAAGAAATTTATATATCTGTTCGAACACGTTTCCTTCCTGTACCAATTTGTTACAAGCTTTCCACTTGACCGAGAGATCGTTATATTCAAAAAATTAAGACATTTTTGGGAAAGGAAGACTTATTCACAGTTCCTTGTTTATCTACAATGCTTGGAATTTATTGTGTACATTTACAATCAGAATTGAAATCATGGCCATTAAAAGATGTAATTAGAAAATATATAAAGTTACCATATCAAAGATGACAAATATGCAGTTTTTCCACTCCTCCATGGTTTTATATAATACATTTATTTATATACAGAATGGCACAAGAAAAATTTTATGCCGTTGTTGAATTTGAGGATGGGCTTCAAATTGTTCCAAATAATTGGTTGAATTCGAATTTAAACAAGGCTGTTTGGTCAAATTTCACTAACAACAAGCGTTACTATAAGGCTGTGAAATTTATGGAAAACCCAGAACCTACATGGATAGAACATCCAATTCGGAAAATATATGCAAAAGACAGTAAGCAATCATCATATTCTTTTTTTTAATATATATGCAATGATTTTAAAATATATGTATATAATTTCTTGCATACAACATGTGGAGAGAAAGAGAAAGAGAGAGAGAGAGAGAGAGAGAGAGAGAGAGAGTTGCCATCATTCAGAACGCGGTTTTATTGATAGCAATGTATGTAATTAGCATATAGTTCACGTTAACATTTATATTATAAAATTTCAAAACTATAAAATACTCTTATTTATTGATAAAAAGCGCGTTTTGAATATGCACTATAAATATTAAAATATATATAAATATATATAGAGTGTCTTAGAATAACCCTATCAATGCTTAAAGGCGGATTCTCTAACCAATTTGGAGATGATTTTCCTAGCATAAATGTTGAGAAATCAAGAATTTTCGAGTTATAAGCAATTGAAAAAAACGGATTTTTCACAAACTTTGTGGAGTTAAAAGGTTAACATAATTATATTCTTCAGTCAATTTCAGATGGAGTTTACTTTAATAAAATTTTAATTTAAGGTTTAGTTACAAAGAAACATAATGACAAAAATTGGAACTTTGCAAAAATGATGACCTTGATCCGTCTTGAAGCATTGATACGATTATACTAAGACACCCTGTATAATATTAATATATATTTTTAAATAATACAAGAAAGCAATTATTAACAAAATGTATATTATTTTTTTCAGCAAACTATGAATTAGCAAGAAGAAAATTAAAAGATGCTGAAGAACTATCAGATATCAATTCTGGCACTGACAAAGAGGAAGTATTAAAAAAAAAAACAAGACAATATAGAGCTGCTAAGCAATTTGACGAAACTTCTATATTAAATAGTGATGATGAATGCGACAAAAATTCATTTATTTTGCAGCTTCCAAAAATGCCTGTTAGGCCTGTACATACCTCTGAAAAAATGAAAAAGGCAAAATTGTCACAGAAAGGTGAAAGCATAAAAAATTATATTAATAGTCAGAAGAATAATATAAGAAAAAGAATAATATTGAAAAAAATTTTAATAATTAATAGTGCATAATTCTAATAATAATAAAATATTAGTTTAAAGTTGCAAATTTTAATTATGTAAAACAATAAAGAAAACTAACTTTTTGTTAGAATTAACAGTGAAACAGAAAAACTCATAATCAACATGGACAGATATGATTGCAACTACAATGTAAAAGGTATATACGAGGTGTGTTCAAAAAGTATCGCGAATTTTGAATTTCCGCGGGTTACGTATATTCGATTTTCGATTTTTTGTGGCGTTATGTTGGTACTCATGTTTCTCATTTATGCCGACAAGTACGGCCATTTGAATGTTCAGTTAATTTTTGACAGCTGCTTTGCTTGCACGTGTTTTGGCTCGTCTTCGATTTTTGCCTATTCCAAAAAATGGATCAAAGAATCTGTATCAAATTTTGTGTGAAAAAACAAAATTAAGTGCGCGGACGCATTCCGAATGTTGACTGTGGCATATGGTGAAGCTACCTTGGACCGAAGCAACGTTTATCGGTGGTACAAAATGTTTTCCGAGGGCCGAGAAGATGTGAACGACGAAGAGCGTGCCGGACGCCCGAGCACGTCAACAACAGACGAAAACATTGATGAAGTGAAGAAAATAGTATTGGTCAATCGTCGAATCACCGTTAGAGAAGTTGCTGAGGACCTAAACATATCGATTGGCTCGTGCCATTCGATTTTTACCAATGATTTGGGCATGACACGGGTCGCCGCGAAATGGCTTTTGCACCATGATAACGCCCCTGCTCACACATCGTTGCTTGTGCGCGAATTTTTGGCCAAAAACAACACACTAATAATGTCGCAGCCACCGTATTCCCCAGATCTGGCCCCCTGTGACTTTTTCTTGTTCCCGAAACTGAAGAGGCCCATGAAAGGACGACGCTACGCTACGATTGAGGAGATAAAGACGGCATCGAAGGAGGAGCTGAACAAGATCACAAAAATGATTTTTGAAGTGCTTCGAGGATTGGAAAAAACGTTGGCACAAGTGTATAATATCTGGTGGGGATTACTTTAAAGGGGACAAAATAGATATTCATGAATAAATAAATAATTTTTAAAAAAAACACAAAATTCGCGATACTTTTGGAACACACCTCGTATATGTTTACAAAGTAAAGAAGCAAGAAATATAAATTATGCATTTATTATATTTTTCTTCTTTTTTTTATACTATTATATAACTGTAATTAATATGAATAAATGGAACTTTAAATATATAAAAACCTAGCATATAATGTACATAATAATAAATGCATAATTTAAATAAATCAAATCTATTTTATATTATATGGCATTTGTAGATTTAATATAAAGAATTAAATAACTAAATTAAATACATAATATTTTGGTTACAATATTAAAATTACATTTAAATATAGCAATAAAATAATTTTTTTAGATATACCTAAACCTAGTACATCTAAAAAGATACATGCAGATGATAAAGATGATGTAGATAATGACGTAAATGATGAAGATTATGTAGATGATGAAGATAATGTTAATGATGAGTCCGATATACTCTCGGAACAATTATATGGAACGAATCTAAATGAGGATAATGATGAGATAAAGGGAGAAAAAGTCATTCAAGTAAGAAACAATACCAAAGAGAAAAAATAAATATATACATATTGTACGATTAATTGAAAAAAAAATAGATAAAATAAAACAATTAGTATATAAGGTTAAAAAATTTAAGTGCACAGAGCACCGGAGTTTCTTGGATATACCAAAACTAAACGCGATTTGCGATCTCGATTCGAGATTCTAACGAACAAACGAAACCTAACGAGTTTCGTTTGTTCATTAGAATCTCAAATTGAGATCGCGAATTGCGTTTAGTTTTGTATATCTAAGAAACACCGGTGCCTTGTGTGCACATAAAATTAAGTTCGTAAAAATCTTAAATTTCAACGAAACTCACGCACTACCAACCGCGTATAGTCTCTGTATTGTCTCGTTTTTTAAATATTTTAACAAATAATTACTTAGAATAAATTTTATATTAATGTACAAAGTAATTTTATATAGAATACTTTAAAAAATATTTTACAAATATATTCCACATTAATACATTGTTATACAAATATAATCTTTTGTAAAATTTTATAACGCAACTTTTCATAATTTTAGATCAAACAATTGACTCATGTGACAAGTCAAGATGTAAAAACTTCTTCTTTACGGATAATGAAGAAATTGTTTTCTAATGAATTAGCAGTGCAATACAGTTGGTATAGAGCAAAAAAAAAGAAATTTTTTCGCAGCTAAATATCTGCAAAATAATCATGTGTAAGTAATAAATAATAGAAAGTATTTATGAATATAAATTTATATTACTTGTATTTTTTGTATTACTGTTAAATTAATTAAAATTATTTTATAAGTTGAATAAAGATAATATTATTTACATACAAATATCATTTTAATAATATTTAATATTATTTATTTTATTTAATGAAGCAAAAGAAATATATAAAAGTTGAACATTTTTAAAGATTTTTATAAAGTTTTATATTTTAATTATTCTAACAAATTAAATCTAAAATATATTTCTCTTCAATGTTATTAATAAAAAATTATTTTTTAAAATGTCTTTTTTATCATTAGCTAAAGTACAGCGAAGGAGTGTGGTCGGGCGCGCGACGTACAACCACGTCGCAACAACTTGTATGGCATAAGCCTTGTTAGAATATAGAGTCACACGGCGAGAACATGGTATTTGTAAGTGCCATGCGCGTGAATAAAGATTAGTTCAGTTAAACGTGGTGTGACAATTATTACAACCATCTCATGAGCAAGACCCCTTTGTTCGCCTCTCCCGCGGCTTTCCTGACACCCGCGAATCCAGGCATCCCAACAAAGAGAGTCCTCTCATTAAAACAATCTACACCACCTTACAGCTTGTTATGAATGCCTAGGCCAGGATGGCCGAAGCTGTAAGATATATTACAAGATATATCTTGCATAGCATAAGTATGCCTGCGTGCGGATAGGCGCGCGCATCCTGTAAATGCGCGCGCAGTGGCGCGAACCTCGTGGTCGACGAGGAAGAAGGCGGCGGCCATGACGGTATCATTAGCTAAAGTACAGCGAAGGAGTGTGGTCGGGCGCGCGACGTACAACCACGTCGCAACAACTTGTATGGCATAAGCCTTGTTAGAATATAGAGTCACACGGCGAGAACATGGTATTTGTAAGTGCATGCGCGTGAATAAAGATTAGTTCAGTTAAATGTGGTGTGACAATTATTACAACCATCTCATGAGCAAGACCCCTTTGTTCGCCTCTCCCGCGGCTTTCCTGACACCCGCGAATCCAGGCATCCCAAAGAGAGTCCTCTCATTAAAACATCTACACCTCTCACAGCTACGTGTAATAAGAAAAGTACACAAGAATGCTACAGACGAAAATTTCTAATCCCATAAAAATATGGTTAGCACACGCGAACGCCTTGTTATATCCCTCAAAGATATAACTATTAAGAAATAGCTACTCGTGTTACATCCGCTTGACGACGGACACTGACTGCGTAAAAACGCATACGCTGCGAGATATGCGCGAAACGAAATTGCTCAACATGCAAACAAAGAAGGACTTTGAATCTGCTTCGCTTGCACCTAGGTCCTTGACCAAAGAGGCCCGTTGCTAGGCACCCCTTCCGATCAAGAAAATCCCAAAAAGCGATATTATAAAAAGGAAGCAGAGACGCGCCGAATCGCTCAGTCGCAGTCGCAATAAGTCGCTCTCAAGACGCTCTCGCGTCGTTAGTTAAACGACCTCGCTAGCCGCGTGCGATATAACATCCCTTCGCAGTCGCGCGCGATACGCGAAGTTGTAACGGTTCACCTTTCCCGACGCCGCGGATCGGCTCGCCGGTTCCAGGATTCGGGAGGAAGGGGGAAATTCAGACTCGCTTATTCCTTAATATAAAAATAGTTGGTTTATTCAAATAAAAAGAACAACGAAAAGAATGTTTGTGATAGCAGGGTACAGGTCACCCTACGGGTTTAGCGGATCGCTGGTATACGTAGTGAACGGTGATCGCACGGAGCGTCCGGTGGCGTGAAGCCTGAACAAAGAACTTAAGAGCTACCCGGGTACAAAGCGTGAGGATCGAAACGAAGCGTCCGGTGTATTTACAAGCTCGGAGGCGTATAGCCTATAACGGTGTCCAGATGGGACTTACAAGTTACCCGGTATACGATACTGGAGATAAACAGGCGGAGGCGCATAGCCTATAGCGGTGTCCTGATGGGACTTACGAATTACCCGGTATATGATGCTGGAGATACAACAGGCGGAGGCGCATAGCTTATAGCGGTGTCCGGATGGACTTACAATTTACCGGTATACGATGCTGGAGATACTAGGTACGGGGCGTAACGCCTTTATTCAAAACGGGAAGCGGTGGAGCCAACGTACGGCGGCATATAGCCTTAGACTGATGTCCGGAAACCGGGAAACCTAGTATAACGACGAGAAGCCCGTCGCCCGGATGTTAGCAGGATGAACCGGAAACCGGGAAACCCAGGTAACGACAAGAAACCCGTCGCCCGGCGGATAGCAGGATGGACCGGAAACCGGGAAACCAGTGTAACGACGAGAAACCCGTCGCCCGGCGGATAGCAGGATGGACCGGAAACTGGGAAACCCAGTGTAACGACGAGAAACCCGTCGCCCGGCGTATTACAGGAAGAGATCGGAAACGGGAAACCCGGTGTTACAACGAGAAACCCGTTGCCCGATACTAACGGTAGGAACCAGCGACCGAGAAACCCGGCACTTTCACAACGAGAAGCCCGTTGCCTGGTCTGGGAGATTGGAACGGGACTGGTGCCGGCTCGTCCGCCGAGCCGGCTTATATACCCGTCCGGCGGTCCCCCACTCCGCGTCGAGTCCGTGGCGGGGGTGGGT